CCAATGATAAAGTACATCTTAAAACCACTATTTCTCGATTGGATTTCGATTTTCCTCGGGTACTTTCCGCTAAACTCGGTCCAAATGAAAAGCTGGGAAATCTGGAGGAAACGAGGATGGACATTCCTCCCAGGGGGCCCCGATGAAGCTAATATACGACCTAACAAAAGTATATCATTCGGAGATACCTCGGCTTATATTTTTATGTCACCAATACTTTCCGCTGACGAAGGAGTGCGAACCAGGGCGGAGAAAATAAAAGCATTTTGTTTTTATAGGAAACACACATTCGCCGCCGTCACGGGGGAGTTGTATTTTAACACCGCACAAGCTAACACAATAACTTTATCGCACAGCGGCGCGCGCCGCCCCTCTACTATTAAACGCTTTTTATTAACCATTCAGTGTTTCTGTTATTGGACCGGCCACACTCGGTGCAGTTTTTGAGCGAGTTCGCGACAAAAAAGTTCCGCAGCTTCGGAATATTGGAAAATCCCAGCCGGCTCCCTCCTCCACTCCGGGGGAAATGATGCATCCCTTGGATCACGTTCAGCAAAAAGGAACCAGCGCAGTTACAATGTTGTAAAAATGTTACTTCTTCATAATTATCCTAAAAAAATTCCCCGGAGCATCAATTTTTTTTGCCTCCCATTAAAAAATGTTCAATTTTAAAGGAAAATAATTGTGTAAATTTCAGTACTGTTCATATATTGAGTATTTTTAAAAGAAAAGAAGGAGTTACACAGTTTTGAAAACACTGTAATTGCGCTGGTTCCTTTTTGCTAAATGCGATCCTCTTGTTCTTCAAAAATAGAAAAGCTCGCAACGGGGGAAAATGTTTTGTAAAAATAACCGAAGGTCCACCTGGGTGTTAATTTGTTGTGATATTCACAGCCTGGACTAAAGTATGAGATATTAGAACTCTTTTCGCGAAAGGAGTTTAAATCGATGACCGAAGAGAGGAGAGACGCAATCTGGTCTCTTTCTTTCTTCTTTACTCCTGAATCTGAGCACCAACTCATTGGCAGCACGGAGCGGAGCACAGCGAGTTCACGCCTCAAGCCATGGCGCCTTCAATATTGCAGACGCAACACGGACATCCATCAAGTACGTATAGTTGTATCTTTGCGCCGTCAGCAACGCGCATCATTTTCCTTGCTCTATTTCCAATTTGTGTTTGTTGTGTTGTTCAATTTTGTTTGTTTCCGTTTGTCTTATTTGATTCTTCAAGTTGTTTGGTAGTTTCAAGTAGCTGGTAGTTTTATACTTATGGGTATTTTTATATTAGGAAAATGGTAAAGAGTTAGCGAAAGAACATTAAAATATTTTATTATTCATTAGTGATTTTCTCTTTAATTATACTTGTCTTTATTTTATTTTCTTTGTTTATATTATTATATGAAATATTTATACAGATTTATTTTAGTTGTTAGCTTAATAATTAAGATAGGCCCTTTAATTCCCTTGTCATTTTTGGTTGATTTCTATTTTTTATAAACTTAACTGGATAACTTAATACATTGTATGTGCATTGATATAATAACTTTAGTTAATTTATTTTTGCAATTTGAGAAAAATTAGTGTTAAATTTGCTCCAAATATACTATGATCCGTCCAAATCAATAATCATTTTTAGGATGGAAAATATTTAGAGGTCTCTTAAGCGTCCTAGAGGGTGGAGGTCTAAAGACTGATATTTTGGCAAGAGTTTTGTCGTGTTTTGACGAATTTGAAAACTGCATTGAGAAGAGGCGAAACAATACTACCCACGAAGCTCTTCCATAATTGACGTACACTGCCTTAACGAAGGCTCTATTTGGGACTCATACCAGACGCAACTGAAAAATCATGTTACAAACATGAATCCCTTTGCAAGAAACATAAGGTAGCGGAGAAGAATCCAAAGTCCAAGGGGACGGCTCTCGAGCAAAAACGAAGCGATATTTTGTTCCGTCGACGACGGGGGAAAAAGATACACTCGGCAGTTTCCACGGATAAAATTAAAACCTCACCTTTGTAGCTACGAAAAAAAACCCCCTGATATTATCTCCCGGAGTCCGGACTCGCCCTTACATCTGTTAAATTCCCTCCTTGTAAATTCCTGAGTTAATTTTTAATAACGATAAAAAAGGACCAGACCAAGATAATACCGAAAGGTGGTCTCAGGATCCAGAGGAGCGTGGGGGCGGGGATAGGGGGGGTTGAACTGGGGAGACGGGGGGGATAGGGAGATGTAAACGAGAATGCCGAGCCGGGCTACGGGCGGGTTAATAATGTGTATCTTGATTCAAACTGACAAGACTTATATGAGAGAGATTTTATAATTTAATTATTCTTTTATTACTTGTGAGAGTTGATAAGAAGCAGCGGAGGGCGAGTTAAATGGTTCGGAAGGAAGGAGCGGGGGCGGAAGGGCGGAGGGGGGGGGAGGGACGGAATGAAAGGAGCAGAAACGGATAAAGGGAGAGCCGAATAATTATCTCACAATTAAAAAATAAGAGACTCGGAAGTATATTTTGGCTCGTCTCGAGTTTTTAACGGCGCGTTCTCCCCGGGTTGATTCTCATCTTCAATTGTATCTCTTGTTTTCGGACCTTTTGAGAACCAGTTCCACCGAGGTGGCTAATGTTTGCGCGCCTGTATTCAAAAGGCTGGGGGGTCAGGGGGTTTGAGTCCCCGCCCTTCCTATAAAACTTATTCCTATCATAGTTTGAGTGAAACAGACGGAACTGCGCAATACTTTCGAAGAAAATGGGTGAGTAGTATTTTGGAACCCAATTTATCCTAATTTTTTTTTCCTGTAAAGAGTAAAGAGCTTACCATTGCACGAACTAGTCTCTCCTTGAGCACAAAAGTGCAATCAGTATGAATCAGTAGGTATAAACGATATAAATCTGATTGGATGGGCTAGTTGACGCCGTCCGGCCGGGATCGATGACGCATCAAGCATCGTTCAAGCTCAACCGTTTCATGTCATCGTCGCCACACTCAACTAACTTGAAAGTTTCCAAATTCTCCATTAATTCACGCATATTTTTTTTATTTTCTCATTCCTTTCATTGCGGTGATCTCTTTCCTCCTCGGTTTAGCAAATTTTCTCGCACTTCTGATACGTGTCAGCCCAGAGAGGGAAGCCTCCCGTCGCGCTCAGTGTTTTCATTTTTTCAATTCTCCCGCGAAACTCATCGGCTATCGATATTTCCCGTTTGAAAGAATGGTAAAGAATTGATTTTTCAGGTGTTCGCCGCAAATACCCTCATAATTGATCCTTTTGTACAGGTTTAAATGGCTAGTCAACCGATGGATCGTATTCGATAGTGATTTGATGTATCGTTTGGTTCAAAACAATAGAACATAACCTCAAACCAAAATTTTAAGATATTTGCCAGAAAAGCTGAAAATGAGAAATTTCGTAAAAATTTCACTACTTGGCTAAATAGTACTAACACGAATCAAAAATCTATCACAAAAAACCCGTTCCGTCAGATTTCTCAATTAACTTTTGAGGCTATGTTTATGTTTTGAACCAATCAATATCGATACAATCTCACTTGTTTGATGTATCGAAAACGATCTATTCATCGCAAAGCACGACGTGTCGCTGGCGAAAATCCCAGTGTTTTGGCAACGCCGCCTGAGCGGGAAATTTGAATAAGCGTGAATTCTTTTCAATTGCCGGAGCTCGGGCATTTAATCAAAAGTTTTGTTTGGGAACTGTTTAAATATTTTACGACTTTAGACGCTCGGAATTTACGATCCGATGCTGTCGTTCTCGGCCGGGTTATTTGTCCCCGCGCGTTTTGATTTTACACTCACGAAATTAAATTGGAGCTGTCGGCACAATGTTTTGCGTTGCGGTTTTATGAACTCGGCATGGAGTCGTGCGGGTTTATTACGTGCATACATCCAGCAAAACATTGTTTTACGCCCTTTTTTTATTCTTTAATCTCGTTTACGGATATGTTTCCTGGTGACGATCTATCGAACGGCTAGCTGTTGTTAGAAAAACTGATTTGTTGTTGACATATCAGACGATATTTTTTGCCCAGGGGTCAAAACAATTAATTATTTACGGTCATTATTACTTAAAACTCACTTAAAACAAACCCCATATCAGATGAATTTCTTTTTCTTGAGTTTCAGCTGGTGCGCTACCTATCCTAAAAACATCAGTGCCGTTGAAGGTTACAAAAACGGTCCGCGTTTGTAAGGTTTCAGGACAGTCCGTTGACGATTTTTTGGCACTTTTTTATACAAAATATACCTTATTTTCACCCCTCTCCTTTTTTTAAATGAAAATATTATTTTTGAAAACATTTACTTCTAAAAAATTTTTTTTCATCAATTTAAATGAGAATAATCCGTGCAAATTGCGCAAACATTTCAAAATCATAGTTGGAAAAATGCTGACCTCTCGAATTTAAATATTACAGCCTAACATACAGCGGAGCGGCGCACAAGGGATCGAGTCCATAGGAGAGGTCGGACAACATTTTGAAACTTTAAACGCTTATAACTCCGTGTATACAAAACTTTGAGGTTCTATAAGTGGTTCCATTGGTTTCCTCGTGAAATTTTCTTCTGAAGGCACACCTTGAAATTTAAAATGTGACGGGGTAAACATCAAAATTTTTTAGTAAACAATTACATGTCCGACCTCTGTGATTGACTCGATCCACTGGGCGGCGTGATGCCAGAGCGGAGCCGGCGCCGGCGCCTACAAACCTAACAGGGATACTTCACGCATTGCGCAATGCGTGAAGTATCCCCGTTGGGTTTGTAGACGCCAATGCGCGTTTTGCGTCGGCCGGGCGCAACGTGCCACGGCAACTCAAGCAACTATTTCAAAACAGAGGTGTTGCACAGTATCATACAGAATTGAAGGTGCTCCAACATATCTGTTACCAATGTTCAGATTAAAAAAAAACTTAAGCACTTAACTTTTTCAGTTTGATTAAGTTTTAAATCAAAGCTACACGTAATAAGATAAAATGCCTTACCTTTACTAGATCCGTCTTGACCTCGAAGAATAGTACACTCTTCTATTGTTCCGTAAGGTGCAAATAACTGTTTGACATCTTCCTCTGTTTGTTGTTTACTGAGCATCCCAGCAAAAAGCTTCCGTTCTGTCAAAACAAAAGCACACGCTCATATTAGAACTTTTGCTTAAATCACGCTCACATTGGAATGAACCGACCTCCTATCACCAACCCCGACCACTTAAAAGAAAGAACCATTAGGTAATTGCACCTGCTAGAATCACCCGCCCCTAAAGGGTTGAAGGAGGGACAGACAGACTGCGTGTATTTGAGGGAACGTATTTTCAGGACTTATGTGAGCAAATTGAGTTCGTATTTTGGTTTGTTCATTGCTGGTTCTGAAAATGAAATTGATGAGAATGAATGGTCCTTAACATAAAGAAAAAGGTCAAATCAAGCCTTCTAGGCCAAATTTGGATGAAAAAATATCGCTGAAATATTTTAGTGCGATGCTTTGAAAATACGATTTCTTCCGGAAGATTCCTGTATTGAATAGGCAACTTTTACTTGAATACGCCACCTCTTAAACAAATAATTCATGCGTTCCAATACATTTTTTTTTCAAATGGACGTACTTTTTTCTCATGAATTTTCAATTTAAAGCTACCCTTCTTTCGTGAGGGAATGTTCTCTTCTACGATTTTTTATTATTTCTTACGTCGCTATTTTAAATTTTAAAGTTCCCACTATTCCATTTTAGTGTATTTTCCGAAGGAAATACACTATTTTCTATTCTTTTTTGACAGCTTTTACTAATCTGAAACGCGATTCCTATCGTTGATATGACATTTTGTAAATGTATTGTAATAATATACTGAGAGGAGCTATTTGATTTAAAAATTTAAAGTATTTCAGTAAAATACTTGAGAACTACACAACTTTTAGGCAAGCCTTGAAAACATAATTTTCGATCGATGACCTTCATGTCTGTGTGTAAACCGAGTTCATACATTTATGTTTAATATTCAACCCCAAGTATTTGCTTTTCCAATCTGATGCATTTTGATGCGTTGCAGCAGGAATTTGGTTCCCCATTTGGACGCCTTAAAATAATGATTATGTTGTCGTCATGGTAAGAGGCTCTACTTGCCAAACTGAAAATGATGAACCGCTGCTCTATCTAAACGCCATCGAAAGCACAGCAACCGGTCACATGCAAGCATTCACAACGAGATTAGGGGTCTTTTAGGAGTGACAAAGGGATAGATAAAACGATAGGACGGACGAAAGTGATTTTAAATAATAATTAAACCAAGAATAGTAAAAGAAGCGTCACTGTGTGTCTGATTGTGCCAGTGTGCGTGTGCATTTTTTTGTTTGCAAAAATATACTTCGATACGATCGTTTTGTTAACACACTTACATGTCAGTTCTGGGCATAAATAATACAATTAAATCCCAAACAACCACGAATTTTTCCCAGTCATGAATAATACTGCTCTATTTTCTGTGCGAATTGGTTCGTTTCGGTTACTATGTCGATTTAGTGCTGATTGGGGAAAAATTTAACGGTAAACAAAAATGTTTCACAGGATTCTGCAATTAATGTTTACCTTGAAAAAAGAGTGCAAGTCTCCGATTTCAGACTGATGCCTATGAAATAACCCTTGGTAGTTATCACCAAAATCCGGTTTCTAATTGAACAGACCTGTATAGATGGCTCGAGTTGAAAAATGCGTATCTCAGATAACGACATTGCAAGTCTCCTATCATGCTTTCTTTCTTGAAAAGAAAAACTAACCGGCAGTTTCTTCTAAGATTGGTTGTGAATTTTCTTCACTCGTTCTGATAAGTCACACAAAATTGCAAGAAAACATTATTAGTTTTCCCAGTAGGGAATAAAATATAATTAGAGATTTGTGAATGTTGCAAGTGAGACATCAAATTTTTCGCATTTGGCGTTTTTACATTTTTCCTACATCATCTTGTTGAAAATGATGTCTTATGACCCCAACCCATATTGTTACGCCGAAGATTCCGGATTACAAGAAAATTTATCCCAGTATCTCTTTATACATAACCTGATTGATCTGGATTTTCTTCTCCTATTTGAAGCAAGTTACAAAATCACTTAAATAGTACATTTTGTCTTTGTCTATTTAATCTGGCATCAGGGGTAGCTCTCTTCGCCGGAAGCCCACTACTGTGTGGGGGACGGGGGGGGGGCGTAAGACGGCGCGGCGCGGCGTTTACTTTCACAATAAATCTACGGATGCTTCATTAAGCTTTCGAACTCTTCGGGAAACTTGGATATTTTTCTTTTTCGCCGCTTTCCTAGTGATTAAATTAACAAGTTTCCCTTCCCTTAAGAGTCCCAGTCCTGGTTTTGTGTGTTTGTTCCGGTTTCCACACAGCTTTTGAGGTTACCACCATCCGCAGACTAAAAATTCAACGAGTGAGTTTTGATAGGGGAGGTGATGCTCTTTCATGAAAATGAAGGTACATCTTTAACTTTTGCGCCATGCATTCTGGGTATGATCGAAATATCTAAAATGTTAACCTTTAGAAGAACTATTTTGGGTGAACCCCAATTTCAGTCGGTAGATAAATCATTAAAGAGTGCCCGTGCGAAAATCATCCTCCAAAATATTAAAAAAGTCATAAGTACTGTTTCCATTAAGCAATTAATTTCAGTGAATCGATATCCACGGTTGATTACTGGAAACAGCACTTTTGACTTTGTTTTAATATTTTGGAGGATGATTTTCGGCACGAACATTCTTCAATGATTTATCTATAGACTAAAATTTAGATTTTCCCATAATAATTTACCTAAAGGTTTAAATTTCAGATGTATTGATCGTACCCAAAATGCATTGGACAAAAGCTGAAGATCCACCTTAAAGCATTCGAGTGAGTTGAATACGCACATGGACAGTATTTATTTTAGAGAAGCTGCAATCTTCCCTCTTGTATAAAAGTTATTGTCGGAAGACAACGCTCAGATTTGCCAAACGATGATTGTTGACCAATGAGTTGGCTAATCAGTTTTTTAGTGGCCCTCATCTAATTTCCAAAAAGTCGCCCGGCAAAGTGTAGAGTACCTATATTGAGAGAGTATGGCCACTGGGCCCCATTGAGAGGCCTTGGACCCAAAACTGGCGGTGCTTTGTTTTGGTTTTTGTGGATGGGAGGGGGGTCATTGCCAACTTTTGACGGTTATCACCAACCGCACTTGCTGCCAACCTTACTACATCTAAGATAATTTTTCTCAAAAATTGCACACGATTAGCCTTAAAAATATGTAAAGATGTCGCAATAGTGCATTTGAGTAAATTTCTCGTTACAATAAGCAAAGAAAACAACATTTTGAGTCATTTTGCATTACATTAATTTATGGCGTCCGCCATTTTTGGGTCCTAAGGGCTCCATTCAGCCTAAGATGGCTGAGCCAATCAGAGGTGGTAACCCCAGTGGCCATACTCTCTCAATATAGGTACTCTAGCAAAGTGCTCATCCGCACATTCATCAGTCATCAACAGGCAAATTTTATTTAATTTTTTGCTCAAAAAGTTGCCAATCAACTATCATCAGGCGAAAACTAGTAATGATCACCGATTCAAAATTTTGCTTTACACGATGACATATCATAAGGGTTTATAATCAGTTCCCATCCGTTCCCGATTCTACATTAAGATTGGACATTCTTACGAACTTTTGTGTGGATTCAGAATTCGACAGATTTGAATTATTCGAGTTTTATTTTAGATTTCGCAACAAGAAAAAAAAAAGAATTAAATCGAAAATTGCGGCACTATGCAAGGGTCGACTCCTAGAAAATTCCAGCAGGACGAGAGACATTTTTTTGCAGGATTTGACAACGTGAAAAATGTGAGCGTTGCGTTAGAGGTTTATCGTGGGGTTTAAAAAGGTGGGAAACCACAGGATCTGGACTGAGGGTCCAGCCGGAAATGAAAGTTAGCGGGTAACTGGGGTCCGGTAATGCTTTACAGGCTGCCTCACCAGGGTGTTAAACCTCATGTTTTCAACGTTCAACGCTCTTTCTCATCTCATATACAGGGTCCTTTGAAAGGTTTAATTTCCAACCTTTCCTGTTTCAAATCCCGCAAGCATTCAATCTCAAAGGTGCAAAGGTAACTTTATGCGGAGGTAGCACTTAGGATTCAACTTATTCTATCCTTTCAATCATACACACACACACATATATAAGCTTCTTTACTCCTATAGTTTTATTTTTTGACATACTTCGTCCTAGAGATTTCCTTAGTCGAATTCCGTGTGCTACCGTCATGAAATAAATTCTAGATTAGCCCGGATTCTGCAAATTTCTAAAATACGACCAGGAAGGCGTCGGGGTTGGACTGCATAGCGGTTTGAGAGTACCTCCTAGAGTAAATTGACGATCAACGGACTATTTCTGCGGCAAATCCATGATCAATTGTAAATCAGTGCCCCAAAATTTATAATTTTCTGAAGTTATACAACTTACCTTACAAACTGTGCGTTGTAAAAAATAGCCTTGAACTTTAAAAATAAAAAAAAAAAAAAAAACCTGCCACGTTGAGGATATTGAAAACCTGGCGCATTGATTATATTTTTAAAGAATGCCTTTCGTTTTTACGGGAAAATTGTTGATATGAATATTCGATTTTTGTAAAATTATACACTCTAATCTTCATCAGTGTGAAAGAATCCCCCCCCCCCCCCAAAATGGTGAAGTATTTGCATCATCTGCAAGAATATCGTGACATGATAAGTCAACTGGAGATCAGATTATGATGCTAAATTTAAAACGACATTTAGAATTTCCGCGGAATTCCTTATTGAAAACTATTGGGATTTTTAGTGGAACACTCAGAATTTTTATGCCATTCCACAGTAGTTCTGAAATTGTTTAGTCATTATGAGTGTTCAGGGGGTTTTCGTACAATGCAAGTGTATTTTCAGAATGTATACGAGCTCTCATTAACTTTTACATTTTCAGCAAAACTGCGAAATTTTCGGTCGCAGAGGTCCGCGTAACTTTTCAACGAACAGTTACCGAACACCTGACTCCGGGCCTTCGCATGGCTGGATCATTAGAAAAACTAGAAGCAGGAAACACGAAAAAAAGGTGCCCAGTAATTA